CACATGGCAGTGTTTTCATTCCTGCTACGTCACTCCCCCAGCTAAGCCAGCCCCGTGACCGGGAGGGAATAAGGTCCCATTTTATGACACTAAGCGTTTTATGACACTAAGCTCTGATTTACAAGGCACCCCTTTAACTAACCCGAATCCAGTTCTGTTTGTTGGTGATTCATACTGGAAAGATGAAAAGAGGAATTTCCAAGCTGGTTATGCTGTTCCTACCCAATAGGAACTACCTGGAAGGGGGAACCTCCCTGAGTCTCCATTAGCCCCACAACCCAGCTCCATGCTCTTACCAGAGCCCGCAAGTTATCAGAGAGACACATTGTTAATGTTTAGACTGAGGCTGGTGTGCCTGTGAGGTCATCCATGATTTTGGAGTGTTAGGGAAACAAAAGGGTGTTCTTATGTTTATAAGGACCCCCATAAAAAATGGGCAACAATGCCCTGGCCAGTGTGGCTCGGTTGGATGGGTGTCATCCTGTGCACCAAAAGGTTGATTTCCACTCAGGGCACATGCCTGAGTTGCAGACTCCATCCCTGATGGGTGGCGTTCAGGAGGCAACCCATCAATGTTTCCCTCCCCCTCCCTGCCCTCCCTCCCCTCCTTCCTCTGTCTCTAAAAATCTTTAAAAAAAAAAGGGGGCAACCAGTAAACAGCGATGCTCTGACCTTCTGAAAGGACTGTCACCAACACAGGCTCTCACTGGAAGGCCCCGCCTGCCTGCTGGAGAAAGGCCCTCCCTGACTTTCATGCACAGGCAGCAGCACAGAACCTTCAAGGTTGTGACACACGTGGATAAAGTCTATTCTGCTTCTGCAGAAACAGGCCCAGACCTCTGCCTTCATACTTGGAATTACCCCCGTTCCTGTCGCCCTTAACCATCAGGCAAGGTTGAGAGAACTAATGGGCTCCTCAGACTTAAAACCTGTAAACCTGCTGGAGCTGCTGGAAGCCTGAGGTGCTGCCCTGGGTCTTGCTGAGCGTGCGCAGTAACCCCTTAGGGAAACAAGCTCACTCCACACGCGGTAGTCCCCGCAGACCAATGTACATCGGTAACAGCTCTGCTGATTATCCTGGTCAGTCTAAAGGGTTATACTAAAGTCTGTCAGCAGGTCAAAAAGCTTTTCCGATTTGGACTCAAGAGACCCCCAGCACCTGCCCCAGGGCAAGGGGATAAAGTGGGCCTGGCCTCTCCATTGGAAAATTTTATTTTTTCCCCCTTTGCAACTAACAAGTGATCTGGGGGTCGTGGGGAGGGGGAAGTGATCCATAATAATTTCAAGAGAGTGCATTTTTGAGCATCTACTGAATGCAGGCACCACGCTGAGCACAGGAAGAGGAGGACTTTAGCCTCCTGGTTGTGGGAGTGCAGGTATGGGTCTGTGTGCCCACTCAGGCTGTCGGGCTCCCAGGATTATGATACCTGACAGGAAGGTGTGGAAGGCTTTCCTCAACCTGTGGGCGCCAGCTGAAGTCTCCCTCCCTTAGCACAGGATTCATTGAGAACAGCCACCCCACAAACTGCCATGTCCTGGCCTTTGTCTGAGGCGCCATGTGCCTCCCTGAGGCTGGGCGCTCAACGTGAGGAAGCGGAGCAGACGCCCCCTTGTGTGCTCATTTCCCTAGACCATTTCCAGCAGACGGAGGTGTCCTCCTTCAAGGCGGCTGCTGAGGTCCATGCAGCCAATCTTAAGAGTGTGGAGGGGCTGTTGGGAGGGATGACAAAATCCCTTGGGAGAAAAAAAGGCAGGTGTCACAGATGAGAACAAAACTCGGCTCAGCAAACCACTCCACCCTCAGGCCGGGCTGCCCTCACCTTCAGTCCAAATCAAGCCACGAGGGAGGAGGCGGGCACCGGGACAACCTGCGACGCGAAGGGTGCCCCTCACCTGGCCACGGCCAATAAGCCTCTGAGTTTATATGTAAAGCATCACCGTCGTCTGGCACCCGCACAGATTTGTACAGAGCA